GAGAGGGAGGTGGGTGGTGGTGAGAGGGGAGGTGGGTGGGTGGGTGGGTGGAGGGGAGTGGGGTGAGGGGAGGGTGGTGGAGGGGTGAGGAGGGGTGGTGGTGGGAGGAGGTGAGGAGGGGTGGGAGGGGAGGTGGTGGTGGGGGAGGTGAGGGGGAGGTGGGTGGTGGGAGTAGGGTGAGGGGGATGTGGGTGGGTGAGAGGGAGGTGGGTGGTGGTGAGGAGGGGTGAGGGGTGGTGGGTGTGGGAGGGGTGAGGGGAGGGGTGGTGGTGGGTGGGAGGAGGTGAGGAGGTGGGTGGTGGTGGTGAGGAGGTGAGGGGGGTGGTGGTGGGTGAGGAGTGGGAGGGGGAGGTGGGTGGTGGTGGTGGAGATGGGAGGGTGGGGAGGAGGTGGAGGATGGTGGGTGGAGAGGTGGGAGGTGGTGGTGGTGGTGATGGGAGGAGGTGGGTGATGGGTGGGGTGGAGGAGAGGAGGTGGGTGGTGGTGGTGGTGGTGGAGGAGGTGGGTGGTGGGGAGGTGGGAGGAGGGTTAGTGGGAGGTGGGTGGTGGAGAGGAGAGGTGGTGGGTGGAGGGAGGTGAGGGGAGGTGGGGGGGAGGAGGGTGGTGGGTGGTGGTGAGGAGGTGAGGAGGTGGGTGGGTGAGGAGGTGAGAGGAGGTGGTGGTGGTGGGAGGAGGTGAGGGGAGGTGGGTGGGTGAAGGGTGGGGGGGAGGTGGGTGGTGGTGGGTGGGGAGGGTGAGGAGGTGGGTGGTGGTGGGTGAGGAGGTGGGAGGTGGGGTGGTGGGTGGTGGTGGTGATGATGGGTGAGGGGAGGTGGGTGGTGGTGGTTGGAGGGTGAGAGGAGGTGGGTGGGTGAGGAGGTGAGAGGGAGGTGGGTGGTGGTGAGGAGGAGGTGGGTGGTGGTGGTGAGGAGGTGGGGGTGGTGGGTGGTGGGGGGGAGGTGGGTGGTGGTGAGGAGGGGTGAGGAGGTGGGTGAGGGGAGGGTGGTGGTGGAGGAGGGTGAGAGGAGGTGGTGGGTGAGGAGGGTGGGGGGAGGTGGGTGGTGAGGTGAGAGGAGGTGGGTGGTGGGTGAGGAGGGTGAGAGGAGGTGGGTGGTGGTGGAGGGTGGGTGGGGGATAGGGTGGTGGTGGTGGGGAGGTTGGGGAGGTGGGTGGGTGGGGGATGTGGGGTGGTGTGTGGTGGTGAGGGTGAGGGAGGTGGGTGGGTGGAGGAGGTGAGGGAGGTGGTGGGTGGTGGGAGGAGGGTGGGGGAGGTGGGTGGGTGGGGGTGGGAGGGGTGGGGGAGGTGGGGGTGGTGGTGGGTGGGTGAGAGGGAGGGGTGGGTGGGTGTGGGGAGGTGGGTGGGTGGTGGGGAGGGTGGAGGTGGGGAGGTGGGGGTGGTGGGTGGTGAGAGGGTGGTGTACAGTGGTAGTAGTGGGTAGTGATGGTAAGGCAGAGACTACACAGGTAACAATACCTAACATAAGCAGTACTCTTTCAGTAGGAGAAGGAGGCAGGGATGTGCGGCCGAGATCACTTTGTGCCTATCGCCTTTATAGAATTTACCTGGTATTTCGGCAGGAGATGCAGAGAGAGAGAGAGAGAGAGAGAGAGATTAAGGGAAGAAGAAAACCAGAACGAAAAATACAGAAACATTTGGCTGCAAACACGAGGGCCGATATACTTAAATGAATATAAGACATGCGAAATACTACCATAAAATGACACAATATTTTAGTATGTGTGTGTGTGTGTGTGTAAACCATAGCTAAGGTAATACTGCATTGATAAAAATGGTTACAGCCTGGGCAAGCTGGACTAGATATGAGGTTTGTTTGCCTTCCATTTTCACACAAGTTACCACACGAAAGCACTGGTACCTATTACATCACATTGTTTTTATTACTTAGGTTAATTGTATATTTATGTGTGCATGCAATTTTATATGCATCATTGCTCACTCTGTTGTCACCAAGAGCAATATTACTCACTATATAAAATATTGGCACAAAATGTCAGATTGATGAGATGATGATGTCATGCATTTGGCCACATGCAGCAGAGAAGTTAGACGTTTGTTTCAGTTTTGACTTTTGTTTCAGTGCTTATTTCAGCTTCTGCAAATGCTCTAGGGGTATCAGGTAATAGTGACACGTTTAATAGCCTGTGAAGCGATTTGTGGTATGAATTGTTTGCAGGGATAATTATTTTGCAGTGATTGTTGTATACATAGCCTGCATGTTTTAGTAATATAGCAATGTTAAGCATAATGCACCGAAAACGAAGCTAACACCTA